AACAGTGACACCTGCACTACTTATCACCCAGGCACTTTGCAGTCTTCCGGAGTGCCGAATGAACCACATCTGCAAGACAACGAGTCCGCTGTAACTGCGCTCGGCCCGGCTGCACAGCGCAACCAAAACGGCTCCGATGGCTTCATTAGCGTTCAACGCAAGCGCAGACCCCAGCCTTCTGTGGAAACTGGCGCAAACAGCAAGCTGTCTGCCGCTCCTAGGCCTCCTAGGTGTCGAGCACTCTTTGTTTCAAGTCTGCATCCGTCGACTACATGTGACGACGTTGCTAACATTGTGAACAGTGCAGTTCGTCCACAGTTCTGTGTTTGTACGAAGTTAACCACGAAGCACGAGAGCTGCTCTTCCTTTCATGTGTCAGTAGGTGAAAATGATTTGGATAAGATTCGAAATGCTGATTTGTGGCTCGCGGGCTCGTTGTTCAGGCCATTTATTAGCATTCAAAAACCGAGCAGTGACACCCCAGGCCGTGATAGTATGCCTCCGCAGTCAAATGCAGCATCCTCCCCTTTAGGCTCCTAAATTTGAATGCTCGTAGTCTGCTAAACAAAGCAACGGCGCTAGAGGCCGTTTTTCGGACATACGAACCAGAAGAGGTCATCGTCACAGAAACTTGGCTTGATGAGCAAGTGACAAATGATGAGGTATTTCCTGCTGGTTACAAAATTTTTCGAAAAGATCGTTATTCGAGAGGCGGGGGTGTGGCTATCGCTGTGAAAGATAGCATATCATGCACTGTTGTGAGTGGTACTTTCGACGCTGAAATGATTTGGTTAAAACAATTATTTTTTCAACGATGGCAATCATTGTAGATACTTTTTATCGGCCGCCTCATGCCGACGTATCACTTGTCAGTCAAAAACTACTATCGACATTAAGCGGTACCGTGACTTTAATAATGCGGATGATGTCGATATTTTAGACGTTCTGCAGGAAAGCTATTCGCTTCTTTACAATATGTATGATCCTGTTACAAGTACTACCAATGAATTGTGGTTACGGTTTAGAGGTATAGTTCAACACTGCATTCAGAAGTTTGTTCCATTGCGTGTTAGGAGAGTGAAAAAGTTTAACCCATGGATTACACGTGACATTCTACATTTGAAGCGTAAAATACGGCGAGTTCGTAAATTTGGTAACGGGAATAGCATTTCGTCTATACCGTTCTTGCGCAGACAGTTGAGGTCTTCTGTTAAAAATGCTAAACACCGTTTTTTAACGTCACCTAGCATACCTATCTGCTTAGTGATCCCCGAAAATTTTGGAGGTGTTTGAAACAAAAGAAATGTTCTTTCTCGGACATGAAACTGTGCAATATCCTAACAAATTACAAGCAGTTCATTTCAAATACTTTCAACGAGTACTTCACGTCTATATTTACTGTGGAAACGGGAATAGTTCCAAGTTATGAGAGTTCTAGAATAGTGATACCAGACATCAGCATTACTGAAGAGGGAGTTTTTGCAGCCAAAAAACGCGGCAAAAGCGTGCAACGGGATGCTACAAACACCAAAACATCACTCATACAGCGATATCTCGAACGGATGACCGTATTTTTCAGAAAAAGAGGCGCATTTGGCAGGAATGTTGACGTCATATTTCTCCGAGAAGGAGATGGAACGGCCTCGCGTCTTCTCCGCCACGCGGCCTTGAGGGAGTGAAGCGGAGGGAGGAGGAAACTAGATATCTTGACGTCACGCGCCTCGTCGGCCTGGTTCAATCTCGACTTCTTTTTCCAAAAGTACGGCCGTTCATTTGAGATATCGCTTTACTAGTAGTGTTGTAGGGATGGTAGAGTCCCGCCTACATCTCCAGCATTGTTTTTTTTTTTTTTTTTTTTAGTCCAAATTTTTGTTCACCATCCCTTTAACCTTGACGTTAGGAAGAGCCACGGTCCCAACGATATTCAGAATGTTTTTCTTGTTTAGATACGCTGAATGGTCGCAAAATTTTTGCATTTGATTTATTGCCATAGTCTCAATACGGGAGACGTGCCTGATGAATGGAAAAAGGCTAGGGTGATACCAATATTTAAATCGGGTGACAGTCAATGCGTCGAACACTACAGACCTGTTTCACTTTTGTGTACGGCCAGTAAAGTTTTTGAACACTTCGTATTCAAACATCTTATAACTTTTTCTGAGGACAGTATGTTTTTTCAGGACGAACAGCATGGATTCAGACGGGGTTTTTCCACTGCAACCCAACTTGTTCATACGATACACGGACTTGCGGTTATCATTGATATCGGCGGACAGACAGATGTTATCTTTTTAGATTTTGCGAAAGCGTTCGATCGCATCACCGATGACAAACTACTGCATAAGTTACGCTAAATCATCAGTAACGAGAACATATTACAATGATTTGATTCCTATCTTACTAACCGTGCGCGGTGTGTTAGTGTTAACTCTGTTTTTTCCACCGAGTCACCCGTTTTCTCGGGTGTGCCCCAGGGCTCGGTCCTTCGGCCGCTTTTGTTTTTAATTTTATTAACGATTTAAAGATACACCACCCCAATGTACAAAGCCGATTTTTTGCTGGCGATTGTGTTTTATTTGCTAAGGTAAACAGCCCGTCTGATCAAGAAAAAATAAATTATTGTCTATCTTTGGTTCATGCATGGTGCATAAAATGGAATATGGTTCTGAACTGTAAAAAGTGCGTTCAAATGGCCGTGACGCGGAAGAACAACCCTTTGTTTTTTGCATATTCTCCCAATGGATTACCACTCGAGACTGTTAAACAATATCAATACCTCGCAGTTTTAATTACCTTACCTCTGATTTGTCATGGAGTGCACGTATTGAGTTTATAGCTCATAAAGCAATGCGGAAGCTCTGGTTTTGGAAACGAAATATTAACCTCTGTTCACGTGAAACTAGACTGACTGCTTATAAAACCATAATAAGACCAATGCTAGAATATGCACGTATTGTATGGGACCCTCATACAAAGCTGTCAATTGATATGTTAGAGACTGTGCAAAAAAAAGCATTGCGGTTTGTGTACAACCGTTATGGTTTTATGCCATTCGTTTCAGATTTGTACCCAAGATCGGGATTGAGTGTTTAGCAACCCGAAGAAGAACAGAACGGCTGAACGGCTGAAGTTTCTTTATAATATGGTACAAGGTAATTTGCGACTGCGTCTCTGTGATTACACTTCATTTAACGAAAGAAGGCCCACGAGGGGCAAACACCAATTAACACTTGTCGAGCCTTTGTGTCGAATCACTTTGTTTAAAGCATCCTTTTTTCCTAGAACCACGTGTGAGTGGAATAACCTTACTGAAAGTGTTTTAAATTTGAGATCATCAGATACTTTTATTGGAGCACTACTCTCGCACTTTGTTGAGTAGTGGCTCTGTCTGTTTGTTTATACTGCTTCCGCTTGTTTTTGAATATTGTTTGTGTACACCTCCTGCCTGGGCGTTCTACAGAATGCTGGCAGTATCACCAAATAAATAAACAAATAAATAAGTGGGAACAGGCCATCGGCCTTGTTGCTGTGACTGCAGATTCCACAACCCCCCTAATCTCAATTTCTCACAGAGTTAAAAGACAGGAGCCCAAACTTTAAGTTTCAGCCCTAGTTTAGAGCAGAACGTTAATAATGACAGAAAAGAGCTCCAAATATACGTGAGAGGCGGTTCTCTCTCATATATCTTACGTCTGTTCAGTGGCTGGCGGTAAGAGCTGGAATCTTTGAGGGTCAGCCAGGCAGTAAAAGCCAAGCCGTCCATTCTATGTTTCAGCTTTGGTCCAGACGTAGCCGATACTACGAGTTCGAGCTAACGGAATCAGTCAGACAGTGCTACAAGCGCACCATGATGGCTTTCTGTGTGTCTTTGAACGTGTTCTATCAACGAATACCATAAATAGGAAAGGGCCAGTGACTTCCGCTTTGGACGCTGTCTGATTTGTCCCATTAGCTCGTAGCGTCGGCTCCGTCTGGATTTAGGCTGAAACGAAGTTTACAAGCAGTAGGCAGCAAGTGAAACGTAAGAGCTCGGAGACTCTAAACTCGTCAAATACAAAGCAGAAGTCGAAGATCACGGTGCGAGCCGATTGGACTATCGCGACAATGCAGCGCTTTTGTCGCCGAAGGCCAATAGAAGCGCTTCGCGAACTTTCGGCTCCAACTTTGTGTTTGGCGAGTTCAGAGCCCCTGTAGTGGCTGTCTGTAAATATGTCGACGCACAACCCAACACCCCGTAGACAGTTGCAAAGCCTGCGCTTTATGTCGCATGACGTCACGTCCGGGAGGTCGGCACGGGCGCTGATTGGATGCGAGTGCCACGTCAGCGTCCTCGTGGGACTATGATAGGAAGCGAGTCCCCACGCGAACGCTGACGCGGCACTCGCATCCAATCAGCGCCCCTGCCGGCCTCCCGGACGTGACGTCATGTGACGTAACGCGCAGGCTTTGCTGTCTAGGCGGTGTTCCGCAGCCCAGACGAACAAAACCTGCACACCCTCCGCGGCCTTCATAATAGTGTGCGCTTCATAATCAGATTCAGATTCGCGTTGACTATTGAGCCGGGGGGGGGGGGGGGGGGGTTCAGAATTTAAAGGGGCTGTGCAACAATTTTAAGGTTGAAAGAATTTACCGTTTGTATTTTTTATATTGCTTATCGTTCCACAGGTAAACGAAAACATGCATCCTTGACCCGTAATAACGGGATTCCAATGCGTAATCGACAAGAAAAAAACTAATTATTTGCCCGACCTACAGCCACCTGTGGCGATTACAGGAACCGCTCTGTGACGTACTGTGGAGGATGTTGTTTGTAAAGTTAGCGATTTGTGCAATTTTGTTCTCAATTTAAGGTTTATTTTTAAAAATATTGTCGTTTGAGCGTAAATTAATGCGTAAAAAGTCTAGTTTTATCCATACAATTTATAAATTGTCGTGGCGCCATCTACCGAAAGCCAACGAAACCATCCCACCTGCGCAGCCGTCCGGCCCTCGTGGTCCGGCCACCCTCCGAGTCGTTCCCCGGGTTTGTTTGGTTTTGTCGAGGAGCAAACTGCGAACTTTCGTTTCCGCGCGTTTCTCAACGAACGGTTGTATCGCCCGCCGCGATCACGGGCGATGCCTACCGGGTGCGGTGTTTCGTTGTGCCCGAACCGGAGTCCCCTGTTCGTCCGAACTCCAAATCTCCTGTACCATCGACTACCGCGCGAGGAACCCCTCAGGGGTGCGTGGTGCCAGAGAATCGGAAGGGAGGATCCAGGAACGTCTGATCTTCGAGTGTGTTCCCAGCATTTCGATGGCGAACGGGACTACCACTGCATCGCTAGCATCCTTCGTGATGCTGGGCAGACTACTAAGAAACGACACTTGAAGCCCGGTGTCGTTCCTTCTCTTCGCCTGCCCCCCTCCGCGAAGCCTCCCCTCCTCGCAGCGAAAGGCCCAACGCTGAAACGCCGAAGAACTATGGTAAGTGGCGTTCCTACTTCAGTGAATGGTACGCGTTCATGCACTTTTTCAGCAGAAGTTTTATGAGGATATTCGGTTTTCCAGGGTGACAAGCCGAGTGAAGAGACGAACTGCGTCGAGAGCGAGGCAGCTTGCGAGCCTCGCGAGTACTGCTGCCACTGCGGTCCCCGAATGGCCACCCGCGACGCGGCGGTTCAGGCCGTTCCAGAGCAGAAAGAGGCGCCTGCACAGACTCCGAGGCCGCCTACCGTGAAAGGCGCTTCTGTGGGAACGGACCCTTGGCTGGGGAAGCAGTCTGGCGGTAGGCATGAAATAGCAGCCTCGCACCAGTCACCTAGCTGTGTTTGGAGATTTGTGTTGTCCTCTGTCCCCCTTGTTCCCCTTCTCCAGGGATTATTTTCATCTTTCTTGTCCAGCTCGCTTGCACCTTTGCAATTAATTGCATTCTAATTATAGCCTGTATTCGCCTGCTTGTGATTGGTGTCACGTGAAAAAAAAAAAATAAAGCCAATGCGTGGCTAGTTTGATATGTCGAATTAGGGGCGGATTTATGGGTCAAGCTTGGAGGGAGGGGGATGGGGGGGGGGGGGGGTTGCACATGCCCCTTTAAACCTCTGTTCTTGATCCCTTTCAGGCACGCAGGACAACTTCTATGCAAGAGCGCTGACAAGCCACTCTGTACAGACTGAGGACTTGCAGCTAGCTGGTGGCAGCAGCGACACCGTAAGAAGCTCCTCAAGCACCAACTCTCCTGTGCCACTACAAAGGCCAGTTCTGGCACCTGCTGACCCAGCGTCCATGGGGCCAGCATTGAGCCCAGCACCAAGCGAGTCGGACGACGAGGACGAGGACGAGGACGACAACGAGGACGAGGATGACAACGAGGACGAGGATCCCACATTCGAGCCGTTTGTCAGAGAGAGCGTTGTCGAGTAAGAATGGTTTTCTCCCTGTATGAAACAGGTTAGGTTCATTGGAACATTTAGGGCCTGGGATCTGTGCAACAAATCAAATCAGCATAGCCTTGGTAACTATGATGTGACCTATTTATATGAAGCTGTTTTGGTACAAGACATCAAAACTCCATTAAATTTTGAGAAATTTGTTCTCTGTAGATACAAGTCCAATTTTACCAAACATCTCATATCACAAAAGCACATTCATGCTTAGCTGGCTACAGCTTTTTCCTGCGTTTCAGCAGTCTTGAATCTGTGAATTATGTTGGAAAGTACTGGTGGTTGCAATCAAATGAATTGTGACGAGGAAAAATTGAGTACTCTTTAATTTTTGTCGGCGCACCGAGCAGGAGGGTAGTAGGGTAAGAAGAAAATAAGAAAAGCTCCGAGTGATTACGTTAAAGAATATTCAAACTTTCACAAAGTGCAGATTCATTGCCCGTCGTTTGCAAGCAATTTACATTATGGTGAGCATGAAGCGTCATGATTTATAAGGAAGTCTATAAATTGTAAATAAATTTCAGATCTTAGTCTTTATGAGGTTTGTGCATTCATTCGCAATTACTTTTCAGTGATCATCACGGTTGGATGCGTCCACCCGAAATAAATGGGCAAAATATGCATGTTTTATGGGGGAAAAGAATAAAAAATGAAAAAAAGGCTGCAAATATTTCTTAAAAATGAACACCCTAAAATCTCCAGCCCAAATATAATGACATAATGCCCTATTCTTTGATAAGCTGAGCACAGTAATGAGTTCTGAACAGTACACATTTGTAACTTTTACAGGAAAAACACCACCACGGGTGCGGAGCCAGGGTATATGGAGCGAAAGTTCGTGGTGTTCGAGAGCTACCTCCTGCAACTCTTTGAAGTATGCAAGTCTTGCTACAGCCCCTGCAAGGCATCCATCAAGTCGAATGGTACACTGATCTCTGTGTATACCTCCTGCCCTGCTGGTCACACGAACCGCTGGGACAGCCAGCCCTACATCAACGGCAGGGGGGCTGGAAACTTGCTCCTAACATCCATGGTCCTCTTTACGGGTGCCTCTCCCACCAAGACGCTGCGCCTGTTCCGGATGATGAACATCCAAGTTTTCTCCGTGAAGACTTACTTCAACTATCAGCGGGCAATTTTAGTTCCGGCTGTTGAAGAGGTGATTATGATAACACTTGTTTTTTTATATTACATATTTTCATGTTCAAACGCAGTGTTTAACAAGTAGAAGCTATACGGCAGTTTCCAACATTTCAGTATTGCTTTTTACAGGTGTGGAGAGATGAGCAGAAGCTGCTGCTGGACGAGCTCAGCGACCAGCCGCTTGACCTCGCTGGAGATGGGAGATGCGATTCTCCAGGCTTCAGCGCCAAGTACCTCACATACTCCCTGCATGTGCCACGTGTAAACAAAATCCTGCACTTTGAGCAGGTGCAGGTTGGAGAGGTGAGCAATGGATGAAGCCACCTTCTTACAGTAGTTTTTGTTTGGGGCCCGTAAATCTGGGATGAAGAATAGTACACTCTGATACACAGTGAAGCCTTCAATTATAACTAATGATAGTGACTCAATGCTCCTGTGGCAGAAGGCAGAGCTTCCTTGCTTTTTGTTAATTGTAGCGACTCTAAAAATTGCTCGCTGCTAGCTATCCTTTTAATTCAAATTTTTCAGAAAAAAATCAAATATCATGTTTGATACTGTGGCCATCCCACTGTCTGCTGCACACCTTTCCTGTCTTTCAATTTATTTTCGCACCTTTATCTAGCATGTATTACTACGGAGTTAAACAGACCTCTGAAACAAAATTTCTGTCCGAGGCTAGGTGTTCAGAACTTTTAAGGCTGCAGAATACATGTATATACAGTAGACATAATAATCATTGCAGCAACTGAGAAGGATTGGCTCCTTTTTATGGTGATTATGCAGTGTGAGGCGGTCCGCTGCAGTGGGCATATGGAGAAGGAAGGCCTCCTGCGCTCCCTGGCCTTCACAAGGGACGAAGGGCTCACGGTGCGGTCCCTAACCACCGACAGGCACCGCTCCATTGCGAAGCACCTGAGGGAGAAGGAGCCGGACATACTCCACTTCTTCGATGTCTGGCATGTCTCTAAAAGTAAATGTCATTTGCTCTGGACCAGCTCAACTTTGCAAACAAACAGCCTACACTGCTCGTCAACATGGCAAAAGTAGGGTTTTGGCGACCCAAGCAATGTCCTACTTGTTGGGAAACAGAGCCCTTTGTCATTGGGTTTGAATGTTCAATGTAAGCAAGCTTTCTAACAAGGTGAAGCTGCCATATATGCGAGCTGTGTTTGTTTGTCTAGTATCACTAAGCTTTTACATTTTGTCTTGTGGATACATAGACATCTTTTCCACTGTAGATCTTCCTGAATGAAAAAGAGAAATGGCTTTAAATTTTCGAGAAATCTCTATTTTTTCTATTTTACATCCACTATCTTAATTATCATTTTTTTTTTTTGCTTTTTAAACCTGCATTTTAAACACAATATGTTTGAACTAGAGCTAGAACTATGGTATGCTGCTATATCAGACTGCTTTACCCTGTGTACCAGTGGCGCTGCCAGAAATTGTTTTTTTAATAGCATTAGTGCCCACGACAGAAAAAAGCTGACGGCGTTCGTATGTGGACAAAACAGTAAAAAGGGAAACGCAGCACGTAAAATGGAGGAGTGTATTGAAGGATAAAGGTGAGAGGGAGGCAACATCACAATGCGGAAGCCAATTAGCATGCAAATGGTGGGGTGAGTCTGAACTTGCAGGTGTGTGGAGTGCGCATGCCTTAGTTTGTTCTACAAAAATTAAAAAAAGATCCATTGGTGGATTCTTAAGGAATGCGTTACCATGTCGCCTGGGAAACGGTGCACACGTCCCCTTTGGGAAACGCTAACACTGACCCCGTAACAAAGCCAAGGAGATGCAGCCAAAAATAGAAGCAGCAACAGAGAAAGCCAAAACAGAAAAGTGAACGGTTTAGCGTAAGCGTTTCCCAAAGGGGGTCGTGTGTGCTGTTTCCTAAGGGTTATGCTAACTCATTCCCTAAGGATTCACTAATGGATCTTTAATTTTTGTAGCATAAACCAAGACATATGCGCTCTGCACACCTGCAAGTTCAAACTCTCCTAAGCATCCACATTTTTTTTTTTTTTCTTTGCCGGGCGGGGGGGGGGGGGGGGGGTGGAAGTTTATAAGCCCTTCCCTTAGCTACACCACTGCTCTGTACTCTTACTTACGTTGCTCACATTACTGTGCTCGCATATGCTGGGCAGTTGGTACTGAAAGCCCCAAATTAGAACAGAATTCCCATTTCCAATTAAAATATTGGAAGCATCACTGACAAAAGGCATGATTATACTTTGTGAGGTGCTAAATATTTCCATGTAGACTAGCTGTTAGAGCAAGAGAGACTATGGCTGACTCTGTGCACTCCTTCAATCGCAGGTGTCAAGAAGAGCCTAAATGCTGCAGGCAAGGGCCAAGAGTGTGGCTTAATTGCTGACTGGGCTCAGCCAGCCATCAACCATATGTACTGGTGCGCTGCAGCAAGCCAGGGCGACGGGGACCTCCTTGTGGATGCCTGGTCAAGCATCACCAGGCACGTGGTGAATGTTCATGTGGACCACCCTGGGGTCTACACCAAGTGTCTCCACGAGCCGATCGAGGATGGCGAATGGTTGACTCCAGGTGAATAGATATTTCACATATCTTTGACGGTTTTACATCGTATAAATGTGAAAGGAGACGGCCGTCAAGAAAAAATGGACAATATTATTTTTTTAGCTCTTGAGGGGAACATACAAAATATGAAGTGCATTTTTTTACAGCAAGCCCTTTTTGTGTTTTATTGTTTTTCTAGATACACCTGCGCATGTCAGATTTGTCGACGTAGTCACAAGCAAGTCCTTGCTGAAGGACCTGCGCCAGCTGTCCCCGGACAGCCAGACGTATGCTTTGGAGTCCTTCCACTCGGTCCTCAATGGCTTCGCACCCAAGTGGGCCGCATTTCACCCGAAAGGCATGCTTGCCAGGTATGAAAATGTAGAAATTACTCAGGAAAAAATCTTTAGGTGCTACATCATGACAAAATATGGAAAGGCTACCTATGTGTGTGATGTGCATTTCTGCACATCACTTACCATTTAAAAATAAAATATGGAGATAGGATGTACAACACTTTCAGTTCTTTCGTTGCTAGTTGATTCATAAGGATTACTACGGTTTCACTGTGCAACATTATATTTCGTTGTCTACTGCTATTCCATGATTCTAACTTTTTTTTTTTAAATTGCACTCTAAATTATGTGCTCTAACAAGTGGACCCGAAAACTAAAAGTGAAAAAAAAAAAGCCTAGAACTCATTCAACGATGGCAACATACTTTGAAGTTCAAGGCTTGGTGGTGCAAGCTAGCACCTGCTACAATGGCCGCTACCATCCATCCATCGCAGGTTTCTCTGTCACCATTTTATAATTTCTTGTCTGTTGATCGCGACTCCACAGGCAACATGTTGTTTGTTTTGTTCTTGCAAATTCATGGTTTTCTTTTTATGTACAAGCTCCAGCACATGCTGCTTGCCTTTTGTTGTGCTTTATTTATGCTTGCATGCTCGAAATTCTTGAGTCACCAATGTGTTATCGAAGGTAAGAAACGCATGCTGTAGGTGCGAGTTTCCCACCTTCGAAAACACGGCGAGCTGCACGCCCAAATGTACACCACCTGTGGGAGAAGCACCACAACCTGTTTCACTGCATCTTCTATTGTAGGACCCGTGTAGCAGCGCTGCACTACAACGAGAATGGCAGCAGGGAGCAGGCCATTACCCAAGCAGGCGAGATGAAGTGGAAGCTCAAGTCGCCCAAGGCCAGAAAAGGGCACCACACTGCTCATCCAGAGAAGACCCAAGCCACATATGGTAACCTAGAAATAATTTCACTTTGTCGTGCTTTTGAGTGCATTCAAGCATTATGAAAATAATCTTTATAATAATTTCTAAGTGATTAATATATGAACTTTGTAATTATTACATGCTGCTCACTACCCACTTCAACATATTCACAGCAAGATTATCTACAATTGATCAATTTAACTAGATCATGATAATAAGTGGCATGTGCAGAGCAAAAGATTCCTTGTGATCGTGAATTTATTTTACTGAGACATAACCATGTATCTTCTGTGACAACTAGAATTCTGAGTGCTGTATTGGCTTCAGGGTTTATCTTTTTCCTTGCGTTTTCCATTTTACCATTTCTGTGGGGGGGAGAGGCCTTATTTGTTGTTCCCGGGACCTATACGAAGTGAGTTACCTATTGTTCGAAGAAAAAACTGTGCAGTTGAGGCCAAAAATGTTAGCCTCGCAAACTCCTTTTTTTTTTAGAGAGCAATATTTAACAAATACTAGGTATTTATATCTATTTCATGGTTTACCAATGTGAAGAGTATTCAAAACAAAAATTAACCAAAGTGCCAACATTTATTTATTTATTGATCATGCCCTCGGGGGCCAAAAGGCATTACAGAGGGGGGAGAGCAGGTGCTGCCTTTTTTCGTTGTAACTCAGATCACTGCATGTCATTGATTTGCTATCGAAGTACTACAGTTGGCAAGATGATTCGTGTTCAAATTGATTCTGCAGGCTATGTCGCAAAACTCCTTGCTCAAGCTGTGACGGTTTGTGAGGAGATGGGGTCCCTGAGGGAAGCCTTCGAGCTGGATGCGGAGCGACCAGATCCGCCCTGCCTGAGCCACAGCCTCGACAGGCCACCGAAGGAGGACTTGGTGGCAGCCCGGATCACCCGTTTTGGGAGAAGACCTCCGGGTACACTCCTCCCTCCTCAAACGTAATAGGCTGGTGGCCATTTGTTTTATGGAGGTTGTTGTCTCGCGGGGAAGGAGCGACCAGCCACACCGGAGTCCGGAACCTAAGTGTTTTCTTATCACCTCTCGAACTGAAGAGATAACCCCGAGCATGCGCACTAGCATGGACGCGTTGCCGCAGGGCACGCGAGTGAGAACTGTCGTGTCATCACTACATCCCCCCTTCTAAGTTTTACAAGTCCAAACGTACGGGTCGCCTAACTTGGCGGCCCGACCGAGTCACGTATTGTCCGTCGACGTTGATGTTGAAGGGGAGTTCAAGTTCGTCGGCGCTGCTGTTGGTGCAGGCTCAACTGCGGTAGGCTGTTGTTGGCTCCCTGCACACAGACTTGCTCTTGCTGTTGAGACCGCCGGACTGGCTGGAGCTGTAGCCATAGTCTCATTGGTCGAACCGCCGGGATCCGGAGCGTCGAAACCCGCCGGAGACGCATCGAATGGTACCAGGTGCCAGCGGTTGCGTTGCAGGACTCCTGTCCCAGTCTCGACTACGTAGGAGCACGGCCGCTTCGCTGGACTGAGGACTATTGCTCGGCACCGCACGTCTTGTACCCACACGTCCTCTCCTACGGACAGCGGGCGAAGTTCGCAAGTGGCGTGACAGCGATTGAAGTCCTTTCGCTGGCGTCTTCGGGCCTCCCCGTTATTTCTTTTGAAGTCCCGTCATGATGGCCACCCCGGCTGCAACGTCTCTGGCATCTTCGGGACCTTTGTCTGCAACCGTCGGCCCATTAGCGGTTGGGACGGGCTGTAACCGGTCACTCCAGGGGTGTCTCGATACACCAGGAGGGCCATGTGCGGGTCCCTTGACTGGTAGAACAACTCTTTCATGGTCCGCACCATATGCTCCGCTTCCCCATTCGCCTGTGGGTAGCGTGGGCTGCTCGTGACATGCTCGAAACCGTAGCTCTGGGCGAACTCGGCGAACTGTCTCGAAGAGAACTGCAGCCCATTGTCTGATACCAGCACGTTGGGGATCCCAAACCGGGCGAATGTGCTCTTGACTGCTGCGATGACGGACGTTGAAGTCGTCGACGTCAAGCTGATGACCTCTGGGAAGCGGGAATAATAGTCCACGACGAGCGCGTAGTGTCTCCCCTCGAGCTCGAACAGATCCGCTCCGACTCTCTGCCACGGACGACTGGGAGTCGGTGTGCTGATGAGTGGCTCAGAGCGCTGTACTCTTGTCTGGGTGCACTGCTCGCAGGCTGTCACGAGTTGCTCTATTTCGCTGTTTAGAGTAGGCCACCAAAGTGCGTCCCTTGCTCTTGCCTTGCAGCATCCGATGCCCTGATGGCCTTCATGTATGAGCTGCAGTATCTCGTGTTTCAGCGAGCGCGGAATGAAGATGCGGCGGTCTTCGAGTAATAAGCCATTGCACACGGTGATGTTCCCACGTTCCTTCCAGTACTCTCTTACATGAACAGGAACTCTGGACACATGTTCTGGCCATCCCTTTTCACAGAAGCGTTGCAAGCCCGAGCAAATGTCGTCTTCTGCTTGGTGCTTTCGTAGGGCTTCCAGGCGGGATGACACGAAATCAGCGGCTGCTGAAACCTCTTCGCCGACGAAGAGTTCTATGGAGTCCACCCGACATTGGCAGTGCTGATCCAGTTCCTGCACCGGGGCCCTTGACAGGGTGTCCGCCGTAGCTAAAAGTTTGCCGGGGGCATAAAGAACGGTGAACTGGTAGCGCATGAGGCGGATGCGTAGTCGCTGAATTCGAAGTGGCATCAGATCCAACTCTGCAGATCCCAAGAGCGTGACGAGGGGGCGGTGATCCGTTTCGACTTAGAAGTCGATGCCTCTCAAATACTGATCGAGGCGCTCGACCGCCCACGTTACGGCCAAGGCTTCTTTTTTGGTCTGGCTGTAGCGTGTTTCGGTGGTTGTGAGGGCCCTTGATACATAGGCCACAGCTCGTCTCTCGCCGGAGGGCTGATCTTGAAGCATGACGGCCCCGAGTCCGTAAGAGCTTGCATCAGCTGAAACTACTGTTGGGGAGGACGGGTCGTACTTGGCCAAGCAGATATGAGAGCTAAGCATGCTCTTTAGATTCTCAAAAGCAGCTTGCTGGCTTGGTCCCCAGTACCACGAGTTGCGCTGTTGCAGCAGTTCTCTGATTGGTGCCGTGACGTCCGAGAGGTGTGGAATGAAGCGCCCCACGTGGTTCGCCATTCCTAGCAGTCTTCGTACCCCGCTAACGTCCGAGGGTATCGGCAACTTCTGCAGGGCCTCGATCTTTTCGGGGTCCGGGCTGATTCCTCTCGCGCTGACCAACACGCCGAGAAACTTGACTTCTGAGGCAGCGAAGCTGCACTTCTTGTTTAGCTTGACGCCTGCCTCGTCGAGCCTTTGCAGCACTTGCTGGAGTCGACGATCGTGCTCGCCCTTTGATGCGCCGAAGACGAGAATGTCGTCGATCATGCTTACAACTCCTTTCAGTCCCTCTAGAATGCGACTCATCTGACACTCGAAGTACTCTGGCGCTGAACAGATGCCAAAAGGCAGCCTGCGGAAACGGAACCTTCCCATCGGGGTTATGAACGTCGTCAGCTCCTAACTTTCTTCAGAAAGCCTCACTTGGTGGAAGCTTGCAGTGGCGTACAGCTTCGAGAAAACCTTCGCTTGCCCGAGACGTCCGAGGATGTTCTCAACCAAAGGTAAAAGTTGACGCTCCCTCAGTACGACTTGGTTGAGGCGCGTGAGGTCTACGCAGATGCGGTAGCCTCCTCCTGTCTTCGAAACGACGACCATGCCCGCGCACCAGTCTGTGGGGCGGTCAACCTTGCGGATGACTCCTTCAGACTCTAGTTTCTTGAGCTCGAACGACGTCGTGCAGCGGGATCGGGACCCTCCTCGGCACGCTTAGAGCGAAGGGCTTGGCACCAGGTCGAAGGCGGATGACGTATTCCTCCTTTAGCTCCCCCAGACCGTCGAAAAGCCTGTCTCTCCGCAGCACCGCTGATGTCGCCACATTGTCGACAAACTGAATGACTCCCAGCGCTTGTATTGCTGGGAAGCGGAGAAGAGGAGAGTGTTGTGAAGGCATGACGTAAATCTCCTGCACGGTCGACTTGTCCCTCCATTGCAGCGCTGCGGGGAACGTGCCCAGTACTTTCAGGGGGTGGTTTCCGGGGCCCGTGAGCTCACCTTCTGGTGCACGAAGCTTTTTCGGTACTCCAGGGAATGAACTCGACACCACGGTCACCTCCGCTCCAGAGTCCACTTTGAAGTTCACGTTGTGTCCGTTGACGGCCACGGTTGCGAACTTGGCTCTGGTACGGGCGCCTGCCGCAACTGTGTGCAGCTCGACAGAACCCATGGCTTTTTTTTCGCAGACGGCTTCGAAGTGTCCAACTTTCTTGCACCACCTGCATCTTGCCTCTTTTGCCGGACATTCGGAGCGGGGGTGAGGTGACCTGCCGCAGAACCTGCAGGGTCCGTCGCTTGAGCGAGGCTTGGGAGTCCTCGTTGCGCCTTCCCCCGACAAGTCAGAATGCCGTCGTGACTTCGGAAGACGTTTTCGGACTTTTGCTTCGGAAACCACAATGGCAGGATTTGGTTCCTTCTGGAAAACTTCAGACCGGGCCTTCACGGCGTCTTTGTGAATACGGGCCTGAAGTCTCGCGTCCTCGAGCGTGAGCTTTGGCGTGTGACATGCTTGTCTACCAGCTTAGAGTCCAGAAGACCGACGACGAATCTATCGCGGACGAGGCGTTCTTCGACTTCCGCGGAGGCGTAATTGCACTTTTTGACGAGCGTACGTAGTGCAGTGTAAAAGTCGTCTACTGACTCGCCTTCAGCCTGGACGCGACGGTGGAAGCGCACGCTTTCGTAGACTTCGTTGACCGGGTGGATGAAGTGGTCGGTGAGCTTCGTCTTCACCGCTTGAAGAGAGCACCAGTCGTCGCTTGTCAAGGCCAACATGTCTAGGAGTTGACGAGCCTTACGGGAGCCCATGGCGTACAGCAGTGTCCTGACTTGCACTTCGCCCGGCGCCTGGTAGAGCCCAGAAGCGTAGCAGTAGTCGTCGAACAGGAAAACCCATTCCTTCCACTCGACGGGGTTCGAAAAGTCGAACTTCGGAGGCGGCTGGATGCCAGCAGCGCAGAACTGCGTAGGCTTAGCGTCTTCGTCCGCCATGGCGGGCGTTGCAGGATGTGCCACGCCGACGGCTCACTCGCTGCGTCGCTCCTTCGGGAAGGATCCCACTTCTGACACCATGTCTCGCGGGGAAGGAGCGACCAGACACACCGGAGTCCGGAACCCAAGTGTTTTATTATCACTTCTCTCGAACTGAAGAGATAACCCCGAGCATGCGCACTAGTATGGACGCGTTGCCGCGGGGCACGCGAGTGAGAACTGTCGTGTCATCACTACAGTTGTGTTCATTTGTGTTTTTTTCAACTTGGCTGGTGCCTTTTGAGCATTGTGACTTCTTGGGGCGCTGCTGCTGTCTTTTTCGGCCTGTACTTGTCCTCTGCTGTCGCTGTAGCGAGCTTGGTCATTGTGGTGTCGCTCACCAGGTGTGACAGTGTTTCGACCGCATGCAATTCGGCATCATGTTCCTCAGGCACGGGTTGTAAGTCTCTTGGGGCCGGTACGCGTGACAACGCATCTGCAAGTACTAGCTGCTTGCCTGGAACTAATTGAAACTTGTAGTTATACTTCATCAGTCCGAGAAAAAAGCGCTAGAGGCAAGGGGGCATGTCCCTTACATTCTTTTTTGCAATAGCGATGAGGGGTTGGTGGTCCGTTTCCAAGGTTATGGGTCTTCCATAAATGAAATCGTGAAACCGCTCACAACCAAACATGCTTCCCAGTGCTTCCTTTTCAATTTGGGAGTACCGAGATTCGCATTCTGTCAGCACTCGGGATCCATAAGCTACAGGCCTCCACTCTGTGTCATGGCGTTGGAAGAGAGCTGCGCCAAGGCCATAGCATGAACGCATCCATGGGCACTTTAG